CTACCACTTGTTGTTTCTACGGAGATATTTTACGCTTCTTTTGCGCGATTGGTTTGGCTTTTGGATCAAGGGTAAGATGATGGCATATTACCTCAGGATTTACTCCTGGAATATCAGTTGTTGTCCAAGCAAAAAGATCTTTATTTCTTAAAATACCGCTACCAATTTTTTTTCTCGATTTCTGGTAAATGATGTCCAATCTTGGAAACGTTTTCAGGGAATGGTCCAAGTTGAAGATCTTCTAACTCACCGTCAGGATGGGGTCGCGTATCGCGTAGATCTTCATGCATGTCTAAGTCAGTCATATTGATTGATGCCTTGCCTTTCTCATCACGTTGAGTTGCTGATTTGACGCGTAAGCTGGTGTTGTAACAGCTACGCGCTGCTTTCTGATTGCCTCTGATGGCAACAACAGCACCAGTGGAGTCTCAAAATTTCATCAAAAGATGAAGCATAGAATGAGTGCCTTTAAGGTGGCAATGGTGGGACGTCCCAAGATGACGTTATATGCTGACGCATATTCAATAACATAAAAGCGTACTTTGACAGTACGAGCCAGAGGCATGACCCCAAAGGTTATCCACATTTCTATGGTACCTTTAGGTTGTACACATTCACCAGAAAAATCGATCAAATCTGTGCAACCTGGAATTAAATGTTCTTCTGGGATATTCATCGCGCGGAACGCATCCCAGAAGATAATGTCAGTAGAACTGCCATTATCAATCATAATTCATTTTACCTGGAGATTGGCCATGCAAGCAGAGATCACCAACGGATCGTCATGGTCTAGGATGATGTCACCATAATCATTATCGTCAAACTTATGGATTGACGCTTGACACAGGATGTAGAGGGTTGTGCATGATCACGAACTATCATGACTGATTTCAAATGTTTCTTACATTGTGAGCTAGAAGCTCCTCCTCCGGTAGTTCCGCCAGCGATGGTGGCTAACACTCCGGCAGCGTTATTGGGCAGCTGGTGTTGTTGCGCGGCACGCTATCTATTCTGCGCTGGAGTTCATTGACGTCTATCAGTGGGGTCATCGCGTGCGTTCCTGTTATCATTATTTCTGGCAGGGTTATAGTCTCTCCTGGGATATGCCCTTTGTCAGTTAGGATTTTGATCACGATCAGGAATTCTGTCGCGCCTTCTTTGTGCCTTATACTCTCTGCAACTAGAAATGAATTCTTGGAGTTTGCCTGCTCTGATAAGTATTTCAATGGTGTTTTTCAAGTCAAAACACTCATCAGTGGTCTGACTGGTATCATTATGAAACTCGCATAATTTGGTTTCGTCACGTTGTCCTCTTGTTTTCAACGGAGGGGGTTTGGCAACACGCACGTAACCAGTTTTGAAGACTTCTTTCAAGATTCCTCTTCGGGATGTGTTCAAACGAGTGTAATTATCAAACTTTTCCCATTTCTTTTTCTCGCGGAATCGTCTTTGAAAATTCTTTTGGACATTCTTTTCAAAATGGTCTGATTCTGATTTGGTGCCAGACGTATCCCGTGATCGTTTATAATCTTCAAGATTAATGAATTTTTCAGACCGCGCTCTTAGTTCCTCTATGTTACATGGGCGTTGTTTAGCCAACGACATAGAAAAGGGACCTTCAAGCAATCCCTCTATGGTAAGATGTAGGGAAACTTGTGGATCTAAATCTCTTACTATGAGCGCTTCATCAAAAAACCTTTTAAGGTAATCGCGTAGAGTTTCATGTACTCCTTGTCGTACAGTTTTCAAGGCATGTGTGGATTTATACTACGCTTTGCTTGTTGCGAACCGTTCAAGGAATTGGTTGGTTAGATCCTCCCATCTTTGAACTGAATTAGTTGGTAAAGCGGAGTACCATCTGAGCGCCACTTTCTTCAGGGTTGTTGGGAATAGCCTGCAGCTATTGGATCAGCAACGTCTTGTGCCATCATGTTCGTCTGGAATTGTTCTAGATGTTCTTGCGGGTCTCCCTTTCCGTTATACTTCTCGGTGGTAATTTTTATGTCCTGGGTATGGGGATGCTCATGATACATGGGGTAAAGGGATGGAAGACACGTGAAACTGTTCTAGAATTGCCCTGGGATTTTTCATTGGTTTCTTTTCTTCTTCACCTTTTTTTTTATGACCAGAAGGTCCAGGATCTTGTTTTGAATGTTCATGTACTAGCTCACTCTCACAAGAATTCTCAAACTCCTTTTCAGCTTCTTTCTCAGGTTCTTTTTGTTTTTCTTTTCCTTTTTCCTGGTTTTTCTCTCTAGTTTTTTGTAATTTTTTTAATCGAGCTAAATCTCGATTCTGCTGGGCGATTTTTTTTGTTTTGCTGAGTGATGTGTTTCAGCAAGTGTTGAGTTGTGGGTGGGTTATCGTGGTGCACGGAGATTGGTGCAACCAACGAGGCTGATTTTTCACATGAGACAGGTGTCTCTTTCTGCTTCCCTTTGGAACCGTTTTGAGATTTTCTTCTGGTATCAACCATATTTTTAAATTATGAATGGATGGGTTCTAAATGATAGATCCCCACAGACGGTGCCAATGATCAGACCAAATACAGTATGGGCTGGCCAAAGTGTACTGGGCCAGATCACACACGGTTGAAGTGAGAAGGCTTTTGGGCCGGTGGTTGTTGATGATGATGAGAGGACTTTGGTTCTCCTTCGGCGCGTTGAGCCTGACTGGGGGGGGGGGGGTACCTGCCATGACACTCCAAAGCTCAAGTCAGTATCAATGTCAGGTTTATGTGTATTCTTACTAAATTAGATGATAATACCTGGGCATGTACCCTCTGTTTATATAGTGGTTTTGATGCCGCCTTAGGAAGACGGTAAGGCCTCTGATTGGTTGTGTCAGGACTGCAGGTTCAGCTGGTGCTTTCATAGCCTTATCTCTTTATGTCAGGCTATCTTGGTAGAGTGGTGGAAAGCAGATGTTGTCTTTTGTTAAGTTGTTCAATGGCGTGGTGGACCTTTATTAGTTTCTGTATTTGCTTCCTTATCTCTGAAGTTATGTTAAAGGGCGGTTTCATGCGCGATGGTAGCATCGTGCCCTGTTATGCACGATGGTAGCATCGCGCCCTGTTATGCGCGACGGAAGCCATCGCGCCCCACTCTGGGTCTTGTGAGCTTGGGCCTTGTTCTTATGTATTTAGGCCTCTGATGGGCCTATCATATTTTATCTAGATCAATGTCTTACATATATAAAATATTACCAATTGAAATAGAAAAACGATTTGGATCTAATTTGGATCTATTAGCACAAAGTTGCACAATACAAAGACCCATTGGCCTTATGCTCAAATTGGGTGTATCATAAACAATACTGGCAAGAATAAATGATATATATAGTCATGAAGGAGAATATATAACTCTTTCCGTGACTTATAATAAACCATAAAAAAATGTATGGTTGTATAATAGATTCTAACATTTTAAAGTACTTGTTCAAGAATAAATGATATATATAGTCATGAAGGAGAATATATATATATATATATATATATATATATATATATATATATATATATATATATATATGGAAAAAATATTTATCCTTTTAAATGACACAACTTATATCATTTCACTCTTACAAAGAGGTGGGACCCACACCTTTATTTTTTGTTGTCAACTCTCTCTCCTCCTTTATCTATTTCTTTCTCTCTCTTAAAATGATACAACTTTATATCCTTTAAAATAATACACACTTTACCCTATATATATTGGTATCCTAAAAGTTTAAGTTGTTAACAATATATAGTTTTTTACATAATTATCAATATATTGTATGATATTATGTGTTTAAAAATTTATTGAAAAAATTCACTAATAAAATATTCTTACTCTAATATTCTTTATAAAATTTAGTTATACATTAGCAATTGAAATTTAAACCCAATCTTAATCAGTTCAATGGCACTATTGTAATCCTTTGCTACTTCCACCCACTTTGTTGGTTAACAATCTCCTTTATCCATTAGTTCATAAGCAAGTCGCAAATCAGATATTTTAAAATCTCAAATTTTTTTTTTTTAAATTGACATATTTAAATTAATAATTTTATTATAAATATATAAAATCATTAATATAACCTCACGTAATAACTTAAGTTTTTGGGTTAAATTGGTTTTTTATAAATTTAAATTTCACCATTCTACTTTATGCCTGTTTTATCTTTACAGAAGTAGACAAAAAGAAAGGTTAGTACAGAAGAATATAAGAATTTTTTTTTTTGGTAAAGGAAGAATATAAGTATTTTGCTTAATCTTTTAGGCCTAAAGTTTTGTCAATTATTATAAGAAAAAACAAGCACTTAACTCTTATCTTTATTTTAAGAGTTTATTATTTCTTTGTTATATTATTTTTTATATACACATAAAAATATGTATGACTTATTTTATTTTATTTTTCTCTTTCTTTTTCTCACATATAAGCCTCACACGTTTTTACATATACGTAGAAGATAAAATTTATATCTTATAACATAAAAAACATTAAACCCTTTTTTTAAATATATTTAATATGTTGCAATGACAGCACAATTTTAATAATAAAAAATCCTTTTAGAATAAAAAGATGTGTAAGTTGAAAATACAAGATAATTGCACCAACAACTAAAAAGTGATTTAAGTAGTAAACAAACTTAAATTCAAAGGTGAAAGGGTTTATGCTATGTTACCAATTCAAACCCACAAAAACATCTAAAGGAGGACCGACATCAACGTATATGAAACATATTTTTTGTACAATGGTGACCCTGAAGATTGAAATTATAACCTCATATAAACTACTCAAATCCCTCTACAATAGACCAGTTCTAATGGCTTAATGTATATGAAACATTGAGCTCTTGGGTACCTATGCTCTGCATTTTGCTTTAGTATTAGATAATGTGTCAAATGATATCATAAGACTTATTATTATTCACCAGAAAATTAATACAACAGAATATAGTTATCTTGATGCGCAATAATTACTTTTCTATAACAAGTCAAATATTTATTAAACAAGGCACAGAACTATAACAAGCTCTGCGAATTACTGAAATATTCTCTGTACAAGAATCCAAGCTAATAAACTAATTAAAATATGCCAACAAAGAAAAGCATAAATGCTGAAATACCTCAAGTTAGGCGCCACAAGTCTGGAAAGTAATTATTTCATGAACAAACTGTATGCACAACTCTGAATAAAAGCTAGCAAAGGGCAAGACATGAACCTAATACCTAGACCAATGGTACTTATATCCTAAAGTAAAAATTGATGCATTGGTGAAGAAATGCAAGGGACTAAAGAAGTAGGGGGAAAAGAGTATCAAGTCCTTGGATAGCGTGAGCGTCCTTTCTTCTTTAAGAATTCAGGGATGTCAACCAAACCACCATCAATGAAAGAGGAAGATCTCCTATTGATACCATTGAATGTATCTCCCTGTGTGAGTTGACTGGCCTGTGTTTAGAACAAAAACCAGAATTTATGGGGATGCATGACAGGGACAGAGGGATAGAGGGTGAGAATTGAGCCATACCTGTATAGCCCTCCCTTCATTTTCCTCTTGACGCTTGAATCCAGTAGCAATTAATGTTATGCTTACCTATACCAAATCAAATGACATAGTTCATTATGCTTATCATTTATGATAGGTTATCTGACTGGCAGTGACATTTAATAGGCAGAATGAGAAAGGAAGAGAGAAAGAATGATATATGTATTCCGAGAAAAGGGTTTAATGTTTCTCCTATCACAGGAGATAACTTATATCCTGTGACCCTAAAATGATGTCGTTTTGAGGTTGAGAGAAAGATATTTTTATAACTCTAATTTATTTTGGGATTTTTTTAGTCTTTATCATTATAATTTTTTTTTCTCTCAGTCCTAAAATGACATCATTTTTGGGTAATAGGAGATCGGACAAGAGAAACATTAAACCCATGGCGATTACACGCCCATTTCATCACACTGACTTTTATATCCAAGATAGGGTTGCTGTATATTTTCTTCTTCTAGGAATACACTGGAGTGGGGTACGTTGTGCAATTCCTTTCTGATAGAAGAACTGCATATCATGCACAAATTCATATAATTAATGTTAAAGGTTAACATAGTTTAACTTACTTGACCACTGAGTGATGGATCTATTACTGCTCCAAATATTAGATTAGCAGTAGGGTCCACAAGGTCATATATAACCTCTGCTGCAGCATTTACCTGTAAATGATTATATAAAAAACCATAGCATACAAAAGGGGCATCATAGTCATACACAGCAAGTCTGCAAGAGCATGACAAATTCAACGGATACCAGATCACGAATGCCAAGTATTCCTCATACAAGTATTAGCTCAATTAAGAATCGATGTTCACAAAATACTTAACGGAAAAGCAAAACTACGCAATTGCAGCAGCATGACAGAGGTGGAATGTCTTTTCACGAAGGAATTTATAAGCATCAGATTTTGCTCTCTCAAGTATCAACTTAGTATTATATCCATGGAAAACCAATACAAATTGCAATCTAAATTATGCAGGACTCTACTCCAACCATATTGCACAGTGACAGGGAAAAGTACGATAATTTCACTATGTGCCATGTAGCTCCTATTAACTTCCCATGGCCTTTAGGTGAACCAAATTCCAAAGGGGCAGAGTAAAACAAAACAAAGCAATAATAATAATAATAATAATAAAAGGGAGGTTATACTTACAACCTCTTACAATCATTTTTGTTATCATTGGATCAAAATCAAATCAATAGTTATAAAATAGGATCCAGTGAGAGCCGTTGATTTGATTTTGATCTAATAATAGCAAAGAGGTTATAAGGGAAAAAAAAATTGTAAGTATAACCTACCTCTAATAATAATAAAGAAAAGGAAAAAAGCACCATGGGGACAGCTGAAACAAATATTTAGCAAATATATATATATCAGAGCCAGAGGGATAGGTAGCCACCTCAAACAAGGTCAGATCACTCCCACCAGTTATGTTCCATACAATTCCAGTAGCCCTCTCTATACCAATATCCAGTAAAGGTGACTGAATAGCATTTAATGCAGCATCTCTTGCCCTTGTTTTCCCTTAAACACAAAGAGACGACACAAAATAAGTTTAAAAAATATATGTAGTTCAAAAATTAGAATGCGTTCATAATCCTGAACCAAAAAAATGGCAAAAAAGAGCCTTAATCAGAAGATCATGCATTTACAATTTAATATTACAAAAATGAAAAATACAGACGAGGTAAAAATTGTAATATGAGAAGCATACTGTTAGAATATCTTATAATAGCTTGAGAGTATTTTAGAATATCTTAACATATCTTCAAAATAAATTAGTAATATCATAGAATATCTTTAGAACATATTGTGGAATTAATTAGTCATCTAATTGAGGAATCAACTTTAGGAGTTATTTTCTATCATTATGTTACCTGATTTATTTCCTTATTAAATTAGGGTTAGTAATCTTATTGTATTCCAGGGCTTGGGCTTGTAATACTACACTAGTACTTGACCTAATTATTAGTACAAATAGGATCATTAGGTTAGTAATTTGTATCATATTAATACACGCCCTATCAATATAATAGAATATTATTCAGAGTTTCTATCCTCTCTTTTCCTCCTTCCATACCTAAAACCTTAAGTTTCAACATATATTCACCACCAATCTCTAATAGAACTGGATATAGAAAGAAAACAGAATGTTTATAGACACAAACCTCTATCTCTGGGTATCAGAGGTGAGGAATTGAAGATACAGTGATAGAGCAGAATAACAGATGCACTAGCCCTCCTATTCCAGATATTTGAGAGACCCAGACTTTCCCCTAACTTCTCTCAATCAATGACCCTCCGAATTAACACTCCAGCTCCACTTTTATTTCTAATTACATGTGTGAGCCTCAACTGTCTGCTAAACAGACTTGGGTCCCAGTTCCCATCTCCCCTTTCTAATTATACTAGGTCTGCTAACAGACTCATCGGCAGACTTTTTTTGTGGGGTGGTTACACACTTATACCCCTCAAATTGCTTGTTCAGTACAGGAAAAAATAGTTACAAGGCAATGCCATCTATGCCTCCAAAACCACTTTGGTTGTCTAATTCTTTCCTTTTGGACCTGTGCGCTGCTAAGCTGATACATAAAACTGTCCAACATGTATAGTTTTGTACCGCACTACCCTCTACACACATTATACAATTTTTAGTAAGCAAAACAGAGGATCAAGAGCTGCTTCTGATTCCAATCATTGCATAATTATTTGAGTCAAATAGAAGATCAAGGCTTGGGGGCTACATTTGCAGTTTCCGTACATACCAGTTGCAGTTCCTATCCCCATTAGTGAAGAGCCTGCATTGGCCATTACAGCTCGAACATCAGCAAAATCTACATTTACCATCCCGGGTATCTGCAATCAATTAGTAAAATCAATGAGCATTAATGATTTTACAGAAAGATACCATCAACTTTAATCCATGCACAATAAATCAATGAAATATAATCAGGATATCCTACTAGTGAGATGGCCAGCATATATTTAACCACATGCATTGAATGGTGATAAACAAAATATATGACTTCATGCTCTAAAATAAAAAGGGACTAATAGTTGACAATTTAGAACCAACATATCAAACAACTTTATGCCCCATAATCATATGTATTGTGCAGAGGCCAAGGACTAAGGGCTATTATAAAACAGATAATGGCACAACAGACTTAACGTAACAAGCTTCCCTATTCATTCATCCTTTTTCTTTTACTCCTTTAAAATCATTTTTTGATAGGGAGAAAAAAATGCAGAAAAAACAGGAAGGCATGTGTTAACGTTCAAAGATCATTAAGGATTTCATACCGTAATTATATCAGATATGCCGCGAACACCCTGTCGAAGAATATCATCAGCCAGATTGAATGCTTCAGTTACCGGGGTAGATTGAGAAACTGCTGTTAGTAGCTTGTCATTTGGAATCACTATTAGCGTGTCAACATTATCTCTTAGGGCAGTAATTCCTTCTTGAGCTTGAATAGCTCTCTTTCGTCCTTCAAACGAGAAAGGGGTGGTGACAATACCAACAGTCAGTATACCCATTGACTTCGCAACACCAGCAATAATCGGAGCACCACCTGTGCCAGTTCCTCCACCCATTCCAGCCTGCAAAAGTAAATTTAATTTTCAAGTTTAGCAAAATATACGAATAAAAAACAATTTAAAAGAACTGACAGCACACCTGTTCCAAATTTTGAAAAATTTACATATATGAAGATTTCAAATATCAAGAATTGTTGGTTCCTTATCACAAATAGAATCTAATTATCAAAAACCAAATAGTAAATACTTCAATTTTATATTCTCCAATATTTTTCTTCCTATTCTTTTAAATAAATATCCCAAACAAGCAAATATGTACTTGATATCACAGTGTACTAAGCTAAATTAACTCACATCATAACAATAACAAATTTTTATTAAGAGCATCTTTTGGCTTTGACTACCTTTGCCCTATTATGAGCTATTATCTTATAAACATATTGTTAGATACAAAATTCATTCATAGGCCTTCACATAGCATCTTAAGCTTTTAATACAATTAGTACTTAACATGCTAATAGTAATCACTGAATCATAACAGTCGCACTTCAAGCTCAAAGAGCTATTGTGTGTGGGGACGTGTTAGATATAAAAATCATTCACGAGTCTTCGCCTAACAAGCTAAGCTTTTAGGAGAGTAGGTCCTTAACATATATATTTTTATATTCTAATCGAGCATGTAAATCATGTCCAACAGTATAACATTTAGACCCATACTAAAAAGAAAAATCATAATTCCAAACTGTAATTCAATTAGCAGAAGCTATAATTGGAGAAAAGTAGTTGAACCTACAGTAACAAAGACCATATCAGCTCCATAAACTGCCTCTTCTATTGATTCTTTGCTTTCTTTTGCAGCATTCATGCCAGTCTCAGGGTTACCACCGGCGCCAAGACCTCGCGTAAGCTCTTGACCAATTTGCAAACGGTTCTCAGGAAAGGCAGGCGACATTCTCATGGCTTGAACATCAGTATTAACAATCCAAAACTCTACACCATGCATCGAGCTCTCTATCATGCGATTGACTGCATTCGAGCCACCACCTCCCACACCAATAACTTTGATCTTTGCTGCACTGTAACTACTTTGACTAGTCGTAGCTCCTAAGCTCTCGGGGAAATCCCCACCTGAACTATCCTTTATTGGGCTGTTCACTGTATTGCTACCTTCTCCTCTAAGCATTGACACCACAGGATGAAGATCTAGAAAAGGGTCTTGGCTATGATATGGACTCACACTGTGGGAATTGGCTGAACACTTAACTTGAACTAAACCCAACTTTTGAATGCCACCCGAAAATCCATTCTTGCGGTCATACATTTTCATAAAGCAAGCTCTCCCAGGGTAATTCTCTGTCAATGTTCTTCCTCTAACAACATCCAGCACCCCTGCTGAATTTCTAGCATTAAAAGGTGCAAAATTTGTTGACACACAAGTTGCCATTTTGATTTTTAGGGTCTCCAAACTTCAAAGTTGGAATATGTAGGTCAATATATGGAGGAATTTTAGTGGCCCAAAAGATTCAAACTTTCAATTAGCCCAGAATTGTTTCTTCCAATACCTGTTCATTAAAATCAAAAGGGCCCAGAAATGTTACACTATCAGGTCACTAGTCATACTAGTAATAAAGGTGGAATACACAAAAAAATGGGTGATTGGTGAATTACCACAAAGTAAAGCTAATAACTAGGAATATTTAAAACCCACAATGTGCAAGCTCAGTGAATTGATTTGATCAGAAGTGCAAATGCAGAAAAAATGTAGTGAAGAAGAAAGAGGTAAACAATATAGCAAAGAAAGAAAAAAAAAAAAAGCATAATTGGTGTGAGAAGAAGAAGAGACATGGTTAGAGGGAGAAACCTGAGAAAGTTGAAGAAGAGCGAAACAGGGAATTTGTGTGCAGCATTTGAGTGATGAACCCAAATGGAAATGGTGAAAATAACAAAAGGGTTTTTCAGTGTTGAGCACTCACTTAGCAGCACCTTTGCCTTTGGTCTTAGCTATAGTCCCCATTTTGTTGATAATTCGTTTTTAATTTAAAAAATCATTCCCAATTTTTTATTTTTTGTCATATTAATATTTCTACACTATCATCTTTATAATTTTTTATTGCGAAAACAAAAATAGAGAAACTGCATTTAATAGTTTTTTATGGAAATATTGTTTTAGAGAGAGGGTGTGTCTATTTTTTTAAGGAAAAAGTGTGTGTCATTTTAAAGAACATAAAGTTGTGTCATTTTAAGAAAGAGAAATAGATAGATAAAGAAGAAGAGAGAGTTGACAAAAAAAATAAAGGTGTGGGTCTCACCTCTTTTGTGAGAGTGAAATAATATAAGTTGTGTCATTTTTTCTTTTTTTAATATGTAAAGAGAAAGTGATGTAAGATGTTTTTCCCTTGTAATTGTTCACCTAATTCTGAGTCAGAATAGTAATTAAATAAGATCTTTAAAAGTGATCATTTCAAAATTTAAGCTCATAATGTTATAAGTAAGCTTTGCCGGAGTAATCTAATTAAATAACATAATTGTTAAAAAAATATTATAATTTTTAAAAATTAAAATTCTAAAGACAAAATCATATAAGTTAAAGTTGAATAAAATGATGTTGTTTCTTTCACGTATTACTTTTTAAACAAATAAAAAATATGATAATTAAGCTTTATAGGGTCATTGTAAAATATAAGCAATTTACTGTAGCAACTTGTATTAATATTTAGTACCCTTACCGTAAATATAGACGGAACGACTACATTATAAGAAATTTTACGTTTAAAAGAAGGGGATAGTTATACTTACCACCAGATAAGTTTACCATCCTTACAACCAATCTCATCACCGTTGGATTATAATTAAATCTAACGGTTCATAATTACTCTTGGTAATCTTAATTTTTACTCTCTATCTCCTCATTGTCTTTCTTTAAGTTTGAGATCTGCAAATCTCTTCCTCTCATCTCCTCTTTGTCTCACTCTAGGTTTGAGGATCTCAAACCTCTTCCTCTCATCTCCTCTTTGTCTCACTCTAGGTTTGAGATCTGCAAATCTCTTCCTCCAAATTTTTCTGGATTCAAGTTTCTATTGGTCCGTCTGTGTTTGTGAGTTAGTGCTCGCACATATATAATTTCGGTGGAACTAAAGTTGTTTTGTTTATCAGGATGTTCAAGATAATTTTGATTCTGATCGTGATCAAGACCCATGGGAAGAATGGTTTATAAAGTAATGAATTTTTAATAACGAATGAAATAATGAATTTTTAATAACTAATGAATTATTAAAATAATGGAAGAATTGTTTATCAAACAAAGAAAAAGTAATGGAAGAATTACAATCAGCGTGCAATTCATTAGATATGTTTAGGGGTGTAAATGGGCCAGGCTGGCCCAGCCCAGCCTACGACCCGGCCTACATTAAGCCCAGCCCAGGCTCGGCCTTTCAGAAAAGTAGAGTAGGCTTAGGCTTATAAAAAAACTTTTTTAATAAATAGGCCATAGGCCAATTTTGTCAAGCCCGGCCTACAGCCTTGTAGGCTGGCCTATTTAATTTATGAAAATAAAATAATAAAATAATATTTATTTTATGTGGCAAAGACAAAAAGTACTAAATACCAATATCTCTTACTTTTTGTGCTATTTTATTTTATGAAAGAAAAACTTGTCTAATGTCTCCGAATTTTACATGCTGTTGCAGCTTAATACCATGGAGCAATGGGTACCTTTCTGGATTATGATGTTACTGATGAAGATCTTTCAATAATACTCTTCTTTCCCTTATCTTGATGGTGGTTTAAAGATTTTTAAATGAATGACATTCTCTTGTAGACTTTATTTCAGCATCCAGTAATTGTATTTTTCTTATTTTTCTCATTTCTTTGACTTTATTCCTCTATGATATACATTCTAGAGCTGAGGTATTATGTTGACTCTTTCTTGTTTGTCATCTTTTTCTTATGAGAAGTACTAGCGCATGGATGAATGAAACTTTTTTTGCTCTATACAATTTTTTTTTTTTGCTTAGTATATATAGTGGGAAGCCTACAAGGCCTGTAGGCCATGTCAGGCTTTCTTATTTTTGAAAATGGGCCGGGCTTGGCTTACAAATAAAGCCTTTAATAGGCCAGTAGGCCAGATAGGCTAGATTTTTTTTTACGTAGGCTTGGGCCAGGATGGCCAAAGCCCAGCCCAGCCCATTTACACCCCTAGATATGTTTACGGAATGAATTCCGTTAAAGTAATGACTTATTAATAATATACATGTGGATGAAAATGTACATATGGTTTAGAAAAAAGGAAAAAATATTTCTGCAGTTAATGCAGATAACTTATCTGCATTTATTCCCAAAACGACGTCGTTTTGGTATTGAAATCTTAAAAAATTATAAATATAAAGACTATTATAACCTTGAAATAAATTAAAATTACAAATACACCATGATTTCCGCCCCAAAATAACGTCGTATTGGGCTTACTGCAGATAACTTATCTGCAATAACTGCAGAAAAAGCGAACCCTAGAAAAAAATTGCGATCAGCGTTGATTCATGATAAGTTGTTTAAAAAGAATTGCAATCAGCGACGACGATGCAAAAAATTAATTCAGTGTCCAATTATTTGTTTTGATGAAATATTTTTGTTGGAATTGAAGATCAAATCGCTGTAACGATGAAGAGAGGATGAAAGAGGTGATTCCCAAACCTAGAGAGAGACAAAGAGGAGATGAGAGAGTAAAAATTAGGTTGTAAGAAGTAATTATGAACCGTTAGATTTAATTCTAATCTAACGGTGATGAGATTGGTTGTAAGGGTGGTAAACTTACCTGGTGGTAAGTATAACCGTCCCCTTAAAAGAAATAAAATTTATCGGAACAGTGACCGTACTGCCACATTTGGCAAAAAATTTAACCATAATGCCACGCCAACAATACATTTTGCCAAAATGCCACGTGGACAATTTCGCTACACAGTGTAGCGAAATATGTGTGCAAATATTTCGCTACAGGGTGTAGCGAAATATACCACGTCAGAATGCCCTGTCACCAAGAATGATATATGTCAATCAGGGAGTATTTCGCTACCCTGTGTAGCGAAATATGGGGTCAAAGAGTCAGTCATGTCAAGTCCATGTCAGGACACGTGTCAAGCAGATAATATTTCGCTACACAGAGTAGCAAAATACGTGGTCATAGACTCAGTCATGTCAAGTCTGTTAGGCCACGTGTCAATACCCCAATTAATTCGATGGGGTACATAGCGAATTATTTCTGGATTTCGCAATGACGCATAGCGAAATATGGACTTTTCTGACACGCCAAAGCCAAGTGTCATCTCTCCACTAATTTCGCTGGGGAGTCTAGTGAATTATGTCATAATTTGCTAGTTCACCTAGCGAAATTATGTACTATAAATCACCCAGCCATTCCATTTTTGGTATGAACCACCAAGTGCGAAAAACAGCCATTATAAACACCTTTTTACTACTTTTGTGTTATCTGCTTGAATGTTTGTTTTTCTTTCTTCTTTTGTACAATGAGTGAGAGTAGGAATAATTTAATCGCCACCGTTTATTATAATGGGAGAAAATATATGGGAGCGAACGGTCAAGTTTTTGAAGGTGATGCAAAAATATTTCGCATGACCCCCACGTGCAATCTTCATGAGCTGAAGAAAATAATATACAAGAAGTTAAGATTACAACGCGGTGAAACTTTAGCTCGATTGACTGCTAGATGTGCGTCGGGTAACCTCGTGCAGTGGGTTGGTATGGAAATTGTTGAAGATGAAGATGTAGCGTTAGTGATAGATGCAAGCACTTTCGAATGTGGGGGGTCAAGGTTGATTGAACTGTATGCAGAAGTCAATTATGGTGGACAATCAAGCAGTCAAATTTCTGCACCATCCACTGATGCCATCGAAGCAAACATGGAGCCAGTGGTCAATCCGGAAGATGTGGACGCGTCACCCCTGCTTGCACCACCAACTCAGCAAATTTGTGATGAAATCGTGCTGGCCCACGACATGTGGGATCCATCGTGGTGTACGGATAGTTCCAAAGAAGAGGTTGACGAAGTTCTAGTTCCAGACAGCGAATCATCAGGTACGGATGTCGATGGTGATTTTGATCGTTGTCCGTCTACTGCAGTTGGTCAACCAATTCCATCTCCAGGCATTGTCGGAACGCATGACCCACCAGTTGCTGGTACGTATGTATTAATGCTATATTATTGCTGTTGAACATTATATTAAACTACACAAGGAGGGTGAATGTTATGTTATTATGCAGGATCTGAAAATGTACCCTTTTGGACGGGAATACCCCATTTCACGAATGTTAATTGGGAATACCCAGATCAAGAGTTGGATGACATGCAGGGAGCACAAATACCGAACTGGGAGATGGGCCACGAGCTATATAAGGATCAAATGTTTGACACTAAGCAAGATGTACAGATGGCAATCAAACATTATTGTATGGCTAAGCATCGCACAACAGTTGTAGACAAAAGTGATACGAAAATATTGATAATGGTTTGTGAAAATCATAACACCGGTTGTCCATGGAGAATGAGGGCATACCAAAAAAAGGGTGGCAGTGAATGGGTTATAGGCATCTGGAACAACGACCACACATGTGTTAGTCAGAGTCTTACCCAAGATCACAAACAGTTGAGCTCAAATCTCATATGTTCATTGATCTTAGGTGCGTATAATTGTATCAGCCTGTCATTTTTAATATTTTTTCCACTATGTTCTAATACTAATATTGTTTGACCACATACAAAAATGATAGGAGAGGAGCTCAGTGTCAAAATTGGGTTAATCCAAGAAAGGATAGCAGCCAGTTGTGGGTAATGGATGTCATTCACCATCTGCTTAAATGGATGTTGTCCATGGCGCCCCGACACAACCTCGCCCTCTGTGGGTAATCCTAGTAGATGATGAACATCCTCTAGGGTGATGGTGACCTCACCCATAGTCATATGGAATG